CCACTTCAAACAAAACCGCGGTCGGAGCGGATCCGAAAGTTCTTACGCTAGGGAAGCCCCAATACTCTGGGAGATGTGGCTTCCTCTATCTAGAGAGTGCGTGGGAGACCAGGCTGATGTATTTCGGCCTTGGTAGCCCTTTACGCGCGGCATACGGTCTGATGCTTAATGCAGACCCAACCACTCGGAATGGGCAAGCGGGGAGTTAAGTTTGTGTTGGCCCCTCGCGGTTGGGACAGCTTCTACACCAACGCTGCGCTGTAACACACATCAGTCGTATGCGGAGGTGCGTCATCTCCCATCTTGAGAATCCAAACATTCGGTAAGACCATGAGGCAGGTATGGACGTTAAAGATCCTCACTGTCCTTTTCAGGACGACCGAGTATTTGGGAAAGCTACCGTACTGGATTGAATGTAATTTACTAGCGTGAACGGAAGAGGTTGTTTCACTCTGCCCCGATAAGTATCAGGGGGTCTGTGTGTGACGTCTGGAGAGTAAAAGTAATTGATTAAATTTAGCAAAATATATTATTAACAACACAAATGACCAACTATAGTGGTATGCTATTGAAGATGCTACCATCTTGGTCGTTAATATTATTAGGCATACTTTCTAACATCCTCATAAGAATTGGACATGGTTTACTCACCTGCCTTGAATTAACTACTCTTGTACAATTACTTTATTGCATACATTAAACATTAATACCGGAGCACACACTACTTGTTTCATTTTTTCAACACTGCGCTTCGGTCACACGATTTCGCCGCCATAGCTTGGTTTCTTTTGTCGCGCCCGACCGCTTCCTCCGGAGAAGTTAATTTACTTTAGCTCGCCGTCATAAATGTATTGTATATCTAGTGTCGATTCTGATGTTGATAACCTGAGGCTAGCTTTTAGAATACCGATGTAGTTATCATACAAATGCCGAGAGTCAGTAACAGATCGAGACGCTCAAATGACTGCAGGTTGAAAAATACACGTGAAAGAAAAGGAAAAGATGTAAAAACACCCATGCGGTCGGCAGTGACCTGAGCTGTTTTTGGCCCCTAAACTTCCCACATTATACATAAATATTTAAAAACGAAGCGGGATTGTCTAACCTGAGTTTAATATTGAAAACAGGGATCGAAAGCATTGTAATTCGTTGATAGCAAAAACGAAAACATTCGAGTAAATACATAAAATGGGGAAAGGAATATAATTCAATTTTCCTTTTACTCTCCGAAAAATATACAATTCTAAATGCTAAATATATTGATAAAATCGGAAAGTACTGACAGCATATTATTATTACAATTTTTTCAAAAGTATTACTAAAAAAGACGCTTGTTTTCACATGTCATATTCAGGAATTGCGTAAACGTAACAAAAATTCAGTTTCAACGCTACTTATTTATTTTTCATCGTTATGTTTACCGTTTATTTATTTACTTTTTTTGCGATTAAACCATTTCTATTTTGATAGCAATACATTTACTAGTGGAATCAAATTTTCTTTTCATTGAGAGGATGTCGTATTACCATAATGTACACAAATTTACAAAAAAATATATTTTATAGAGTTCAATCGTACAAAATTAATTTTATATTGTATTGAACTTACATTGTACTGAAAACACAATATAACAACACCATACGAACACATGATACAAAACTTTAATTTGTGTTTTTTAATTAAATTATTATAATATACAAAAGCACGGTTTTATATACCGACATATCTCACAGTCCAAAGATGTCTACAGACGTCAAAGAGAATCTAAAAATTTAATTTCTATTTATCAGTATTTATTGAGGGTACATTTGTTCAACCCTGTCAATGGTTGAAATCTCTTAACAAATCGTATCTACATGACTGTGGATATGGGGTGAGACCACGTAGATGCCTATTGCATAGAGAATTTATCTGTTTAGAGCATATCATAAATAGAATGCAAAGAGCTAAGTACGATTGAATGAATTAAGCGCGGCCTTGGGACACAGCAGTAGGTACAATGGATTATTTCTGTGCCATAAATATTTTTGATAATTATCTCTACCTTTTTGTTTTTGATATGTGTTACTAATTGCAACGAATGTATTTATTTGCGTGAATTGAGGTACTAATCGTCAATAACTCCGAGGAATATCGAGTACTCTGGAGTGGATTGAATGAAGTATGAATGTAGTTTTCAGCGTTAATGGATAGGCTTAACCCGAATTTCCTCGAAGAATATCGAGTACTCTGGGGTAGAGGGAATTAATGTGTGAATATAATCTGTTAGCGTGAATTTTTATTATAGTCTTATTCCCTTTACTCCGAAGAATATAGAGTACTTTGGAGTAGTATGAAGATGTGAATGTAATTTATTACCGCGAATCGTGGGGTTATCCAGAATTTTCTCAAAGAATATCGAGTAGTTTGGGGATGAGGGGATGAATGTGTGAATGTAATTTATTAGCGTGAATGAACGGAGTTTTTCTCACAATTACCCCGAGGAATATCGAGTACTCTGGGGACGTGTAAATGCAAACCAGATTATCATGTTTTACCTTGTTTTCTGCATTTCTGTATACTTGTATTTATGTGCAATTTTATCCACAATTTACTTGGCCCTTGAGGTACAGATAGTGTAGCAACAGGATATGATAATTAAAAGAGAGAGTTGGTTACAGTTATATCTTAGAAGATCACAACTTGGTTGGAGAAACAGGAAAAGAAATTAGTAGGTTAAAAACCAAGAAAGTCAAGAAAAGAAAAACTTAGAAAGAGGGGGCTGGCGTTGTCCAATGTAGTTTGTCTCCCTAAAAACTAAAACTGAAAAAAAAAAGAAAAAAAAGACACTACTCCTTACTGTAATTTGTTAAACAAGTCCAATAATTGCCATTTATATAACGTTTAAATCTGAGAAATTTGATGTAACTAGCAAAACGATAGTGTAGGATATGTGGATCTCCATGTAACATTCAGAAGTTACGACAAGCTAATCCATAGGATATATGAGGATAAAAAGGATATCCCTTGGACCTATATGACCTATATTAAATTCTGAATAATTTAAAATACTTTATCCTGATTTTTTTTAGTATTTGCCGTATAGCTTATCACGGTGTTATCAGATAGGAACTGGACTGAAGAAATAAGGCCAGGTGTGTTTCGAACCTCGAGAAGGGTATTTTTGGATTTTGAAGTCGTCCACTGGAAAGATTTTTCGGCCTTCCTTTCAAATTATTTGGTTGTTGTGAAATTAATTTCAGTACATATCATGCATTGGTTTTGTTTTTCTTTTCACGTTTTCTCCTGAAGAAGTAGAACCAAGCATAATTGCGAGTTTAACAATTGTGATGAGCATAAGTGCAGCTTTCAACAGGACATGCGTAGCGCTACTCGAACGGGATGGAATGCCGCACGACGACTAAATTCCAAAGTAATTTAAATCATAGTCCCAAGAATCCCTGGAGCGTTTTACCCAACCCCTCTTGCAAAGGCTGATTGTACTCGAGACAAGCTGTTATGGACTAATTACGGGCAAAACGGCAATCATGACAATCTTGAGAAGATAGCCTATTGTAGCATATATTAAAGACTGATGTACTTCAAACGGGTAAAAGTTAAAACTTACTGTAGAAACATTGATGATTATGTAATAAATCATAATTTACCAAAATAGCAATAACTTACCCAAGTAAGTAAATTAAAATTAATGATTCTTTTTATCTATGGTTTTTGGTTGAGGTGAAAAATTATTGACACGAGCGGGATTCGAACCCACGACCTTCGGCTCAATACGCCGTGATCTTATCACTTGAGCTATCGTGACTTCATTTCCTCAAGCTCAAATGGTTAGAGCATCGGCGTATCGAGAGGAAGGTCGTGGGTTCGAATCCCGCTCGACACTCTAATTTTTTCATTTCAACTAAAAACCGTAGATTAAAAGAATAATTAATTGTATTAATCAACATTGTCAATTATGACTACTAAACAAGTATGGATTAATTGATTAACTATGTCATTATTTAGTGAGTAGTTGTAGATTTGTTTGATCGTTTCTAATTCTGGACCGCTTGATCTCGCTACTTATTTCAGCTAGACTAATTCCACCATTTTGGTCGTATATTATCTCTTCTGTTCGTCCTACCGTAACTTTCCATTACATAAGAAGAAAAAAATAATGTATTTTTGACAAGCAGGTCACAACTTCATGTAATTTCTTTAAAAGATGATCAAGGGAGCAAATCAGAGCCAAATTGAATTAAAATTGTGATAAATGATTACAAATCAACAATGGCTGGAATTGGCTATAGATCACATTCCCAATCAGACATGAATACATTCTAGCCGAATTATTGGTTTGATCCAACAGAATGAAATTTACCATTTCAACCTAAGATAACCATTTTACTTGAAAAAACATGCTACATTGCATTTTATTATTTAGTGAAAAAAAATATAAATAATTTAACCGAAAAATTACGTCTTGGCCAATTTCTATTTTACTTTTTGAAAAGAGATTACACAGATTTGGGACCTTGCAATAATGTCCCTCGCATACACATTTTCACTCATGCTCGTCCTTCTTATGTTTTTATAAAAGAATTAGGTTCGGTCTTTTTAGTCATTAAAGTAAAATATATGAAATAACATTGTATCCTTTCCTTGGTTTTTTCCATTTGGAGTCGTAATAATTTACTTCTTCAAAATTTACGATTTCGTCTATTGTGTCTGATGTCTACCAGTAGTTTTACTGGAAGATTTTCTTTTCTATAAGGAATTACAGCATCTTTTTTAGGATATGATATTTGGGTTTACATACACAAGAATGGTCTAGGTATTGTAGTGTTTTGTTGTCTCTTTCTCTTCTAAAAATTGTTGACATTGGTCATCTGTTAATAGACTTATAGTTTAAAGTGGTTTTTCAATGGAGCATATCCCGTTGAATATATTTCATGCTTAAAATATTTATTTAAATTTATAAGTTTGTTTGAAAATCTCTTTCAAACAGACGAAACTCTTACCGATAATTGTGATGAGGATGACAATGCCAAGAATGACGGAAAGCACCGCCATGAAAACGCTGCTGAAGTAGACCTTCTCGTCGATGACGAGGGTCGCGTTCGTCTGGTTGTCTTCATTCCAACTGCTGTTGTCTAAGGTGATCCAGGAAGATGTGCTCGGAATCGGGGTCGCCTGGCCGGCAAGCACTTGCTGGATCAGGGATGACAAGCCCGAGCAAAGTGCCTCCTCGTCCTCTCTCGAAGAGTTCTTCACCCCCTGAGAGCACAGTTGCCCAGCGCTCTTCAGCAAAGTGACCAGCTCCCCACGCATCGCCCGACCATTGCCAACACCTGTTAACAAATATTAATTTTTATTATTCCATCAATTGCAAAAAATTACTATTGTTGAAGGTTTATGTTTTTGAGGAATTATTAATGGAATTTACAATTAATTCCTTCATTCAACAGTTCAAGCTGAGACTTATGAGTCTTATGGCTATAGATATTAAACGATTTAACAAAAATATTTACTGCTATCTGTTCAAAATAAATATTCATTGGACAAATAGTACACATAAGTATATACAAATCTGGAGAGAAGCCAGCCAGTGCTGAAACCCTCGTACTTTTAGTTGGGAGGTTTAAGATAGGAGGTCACGAGGTCATCATCCTTTTAGACGGTGTGGAGGATATAAGGATGGGTTGTCGAGGACTAGTGGATAAGGTTAGAGGGATAGTTTAGAGTGGAAATTGAGGAAATTGTTTTATTCCTAGATGAAAATATTAATAATTGATTACTAGGTTTAATTGGTTTAATGTTCAGGTGTGCATATGTACTTTGAACTGGGTGATTAAATAGCTTGGCTTTTTTCTCATGTGGGTTTTTGGTTATCATTTGTTTCTATTTCCTAGCTTTTGGTAGCTATTTCTTTTCTAATCTAACATGACAAGCATATTTTCATTCTAATAGGCTTACTTTGAAGTTAACATTTGATATATTTTTATTATGTAAATATTTTATTAAGTTTTCATTCCATTGTTTTCATTTTTAGTGGTGTAACAACTTTTTCTTCCAATTTAGCGGATTACAGTACACTATTAAATATAATTATCTAGGTTTTCTGAGGCTAAATGGGATTACTATGTTTAGTACCACATTTTGTCTGGAAGCTCTGGTCTTGTTTGTCCATTTATGTTCTGGATTTTATTTTGGTACATTTCTCCATTAAATACTGATGTTGTAACGCTTTGTAGACACAATGTTATTTTAAAATAAAGTAGACTAGACATAGTAAAATTAATCACAGATTAAAATAATTATATATAAAATCTAACTCTGCGTTTTAGAAACAAATTAAATTGCGTACTTTTTCATCGCGAACACAGAATTAAAAATTTAACGAACTGGAATTAGAGCAAATAGTCATTAGGTAATTAAACTAAGCTATTGATGTTGAAGATGACATGATGAAAGTACACAGTAACATATGTGGAGGTGTAGCAATGAGAGGAACTCTTTCACCAATCCTTGGAGACAAAATAATGAATGAGTTACATGTTGATGACGTGTCCCTAATTGTAAAAGAGAGAAAGTTGGATGACATTGTAATAGCTTTCAATTCATATCATCCGTCATTAAAATTCACAAAGGAAGTAGAAGTTGTTGGGAAGCTTCCTTTTCTAGACTTGCTTGTGATGAAGGAAGGAAAGGAGATTTGGTACATGAATTGATACCATTTCAATTTAATTCTGATAGGGTGTAACATTATTCATCAGTACATTCATTCCAAAATTAATATTAATATTGCCTACAACCCTATGGATACAACACTAAAACTTAGTGACAATTGTTTCCATAATGAAAACAGAATGAAGGTGGAATCTATAAGATAATGGATAAAGATAATGGATACCCTAAGTCATTAATAAGGTTAATGAACAGCAGAATGAGTGTAATTACAAGGCTTATCCCACCAGGGGGAGAAAGATTTTATCAACCTATAACATACATTGCAGAAACATCAAACAAAATTAAAACGCGCATTTGAAACGAAAATCAATAATACAAAAGTAGTATTTCAATTCAAAAACAAGGTAGGAAAAAAACTTCTATACTAAATTGAAATGTAAAGAACTTCCGCTGAAAAACTAATGCTTGTATTGTGTAAAATGTCCCCATGTTTATCATGGTCATACAAAGCAGTATCTCTCAGAGCGTAGTTGGCAACATCAGTATGACTGTAATGATGTTGAGAGGCCAGAAACAAACATAAACATAGTAGTAGTAAAAAAATTCATGGTGTTTAGCGGCCGTTAGCCAATGATTATTTGGAGATCGTGAGATGCATTCTGGTGTGACGTAGGTTTTAGAAAACATTTTTTCATCGTGCCAACGTTTCGATCATTATTGAGGTCATCTTCAGGGCCAGAGATCTATAAACATTGTTTAAATTTTAGAAATGTAGGATGTGGAAAAAAATTAATAGCTTTGATTATGACAAAGTTGAGATTATGACAATGGAGCATAACACAGGTCGTAGGTTATTAAACAATTTTTCGTTTTTTACCGAATTATGTTGATTGGAAAAATATTCAATTTATAGAGTATTTCATATACTTTACGTGAGTGTGAAATACGTGGTTCAAAATTTATATTTACATCTTAAATTGTATTTTTTCCAATTAAAATATGGTTTGTATTTTACCCAGGCCCTGAAGAAGACCGGAATAAATGTTGAAATGTCGGGAAAAATGAAAAAGGTGTTTTCTAAACTACCTCATTCTTGAATATTCCTCACGACCTCAACAAATTATGAAACAAAAGGTCACTAAGAAAAACACATTAATATTAAATATTATACTTATTTGAAGCAGAAGCGAAAACAGGGAATCTCGCTCGTGCCAATAGTTTACTTGGTATTAATTGAGAAGTAGGTAATTAATTCCGACAAAACTTTTAATAACTCATTGTTTTGAACATTGTGTTCCCAAAGCTGAACTCTTAAGTAATATTTTCATCATGCAATTAAAGCTCATTCTCATGGTCCTATTATGGTAATTATGAATATTTTTTGTAAGCTGTTGCTGGTTAACAATTATATGTTCAATGCTGAAATATTTTCATATAATTTGGAATCGTAAAAAAATAATCAAAAGAGTTGTATGAAAATTTTGTTTTATTTCCTTAGACTGCCGTTTATCCTCGATATAAATAAATAAAAAAAAGTAAATTAAAAAAAAAATCGTCAGAATAGAAAGGAGTGAATTTCTTTAAATAATAGCTCCACATTTAAATTTCACAATTATTCAAGGCTGGAAATATCTGTATTAATTTTCAAATATCAACAGATACCAATTTGTATGTAAATTGACTTCAAGGCCCAGAGCCAGAATGAGGTGGATATAATATTAAAAGAGCTTTCATATCGGCCAAGGTGTCATATATATTTTATAGAATCCTCTTGTTAATGTCCCTGCAATAAAATATCTGTCCGGAGATGAAGCATCACCAAAGAGGGAATTTTAATTGCACGTACGATGAATAATTTCCTCCTCGGAGGAACTTCTGATGCCCTCATTTTCGAAAATAATCCGATCTAAATTCTACATTCTAGCAAATCTACCGGGTTATTGCTTCACTTTAGCTTTGTAAAATTTGAAAAAAAATTATAACATTGTTATGATTTAATTTTTAAAAATTTAAGTACACATAGGACATTTTGGATTCTGTGGTAAAATAAGATGTTAGCATATCATCTCTCTCTCTTTCTCTCTTTTTCTCTTTCACTCTCCCAACCTTATCTGTCTCACTCGCGTTCCCATTTTGACGCACTGTCATTCTTTCTTTCTTTCTATTAATCTAATTTCGCTAACCTAAAGATTTGTCACTCTGTCTTTATCTTATTAATCGTTTCTTCTATCATTTTTTATAGTACAGTTCATACACATCATATAGGCATAATATGAAAGCCAGGAGAGCATAGACAAACATACGGTAGTAGTAAGGAGGGTTGTTAGCCAAAATCCTATTCTGGACAAACTTTCTGGGAAATCAATTGTAAATTTGCTAAGGCAAGATTTTCTCTGTTACTGATTTACCTTAAGTTACCTTAAGATTTTCTGGGTAAATAGATTTTTGAAATTTATTATTGTTTGTTTACGAATTTTTTAAACGATTTTTTTGAACAGCTTCGAGGTGGTTGCGAAAGTTTACGTTTTCATGAACTATTGTGTCAAGATCGTGTCCTCAATCGGATGGTCATTAAATGTATATATAAACAAGTTTAGGTTCATTTGCAACATTTTCTTAAATAATTTTAAAACTTTGCACTTATTTCTTTTAGGATTATTACCCTCTCACCAATACCAGAAGGTATCCAAAACTAAAATAAGGCGACCGATATCTTGGTTGCATGCTAGTAATGAAAACGAAATGTATTGTAAGACAAATCTAATGTAATTAAAAAATATAAGAAACAAAATTGACCTCGAGTTAAATCCCTGGGGTACATCAGAGTCTAACATTATTTAATTCCTTACTTTTTCTCTCTCTTTTGCACTATCCCTTTTTTTCTGCTTTTTTCATATATTATGTAATTAATTACTACTTCGTTTATTCGAAAGAATAATGTTCAGTATATGTTCCTGCTTTCCCCAACATTGTTTCTTTGAATGTCCCAACGATGTGTGACGTAAAATAACTTCAAATTTTGGTGTAATCTTCTTCAGTATCAATACTGGATTTATAGTTGTGTAAAAAGAAATAAAATGGAAGCATTTTTGAATAGACATTAAATATGCAATCACTGCGTAGAACCATTCAAATGATTAGATAAATAAAATGTGTTTATTAATATAAAAACTTTCGACTGTTTATAGACGATTATTCTTTATGACCGCACAATAAGTTTGCTGCATGAAATTAATTGTTCGGATAGTCAAAATTCTCACTTTTTAATGAGGCTAAAGTTTTACAAATACTGCATTGGCCTTGTTTCCAATTTCGGACTACTTATATCACCTCGCTATGTTTTAACAAGCGGCCTTGCCCGGTGGATAAAACGTGCTAAATTAGAAGGTTCACATTTAACAAAAGTTGAAATTGGCCAAAAACCTTTACCGCCGACTCACCACCGTTAGAGAAAATGAAAAGACAAATTAATCTAATCTTACCCTAGGTTCTAATCAAACCGGGGTCTGACTTTGTTTTAAACCCAATTAAGTTGTATCCTTGGAACGCGAATCTCCCCCTTTTTAATGCAGCCCTTTCTGGCGAATGTTCCCCAATGTTCGTAAAACGACAGCGGCAAGAAAAAAATATTCTTCCCTACTTAGAAGTGAGAGAGAGAGAG